TTTGAAGGAAATCATGCTTAGATGCACGCTGAATATCCAGCTCATTTCTAACAATAGGATCTATCGACAAAGAGATAGTGTCACAATGGAATTCCCCACTAGGTTCAGTGTTATTTGATTTCTTAGCAGGCTGGGATACCAATAATTTTGAGTAAACTATCGGGAAGCCAGACTTCTATAACAGATACCTTTAACATCTGAGGTCATACCTGTGATTTGTAAAGCATACTGAAAACATTTAATGATTGTCACCTCTAAGTCAGTTCACCCTCAAAGAAGAAGAGGATTATAAAATCCCACTTACTGATGTGCTAAATACAAGGAGACCTTATGGATTTCAGAGTGGATCAATCTACAGAAAATCAAAGTGAAATTGGCAACTAACAATCTTCCATAGCTTTGTTCCTATAGAAAATAAAATAAATTCGGCTCGTTCTTGCTCACCATGTGCCTAGAAGATCTGTACACAAGATAATGTTTAAGATAGGCTAAAATTATTAAAATAAAACCGGTATTCACCAAGTTTTATAGGGGTGAAATTTCAAAAGAAAGATTTAGGAACCGTCCAACAAGGTCAGAAGAAAACACTCCACGCTGCGTCTCTTAGAGTAACCTGTTCCAGTTGCCCTTTAGTGCTTAAGAAATTTTACCTAAATATTCGTTCATCTGGTGTTGTGCAGCCAGGTAAATAAGATGTTCATTGAGAAACGAGACTGGTCACAGGCGAGATTACTAGATTTATGAATCTCAGGTAATCTATATGAATTTAAAAATTCGGATCCCATAGGTTTTAACGAATTAAATTCATCTTTTCTAATAGTACTCATATTCAATGTCTTTACTAAATGAGCGATTACTTCTGCTTCCAATTTTCTAATATCTTCTGATGGGACATCGGCTATGAATTTGTTTTAATAGCATTTTATTTTTATAGTCAGATTTATCCTAACAATACCTGATACCTTATCGAGTTTGAGAATGATTATATCTGATCTGCTCCGTAATTCTTTCAAGGATTTGAAGTTCTGTGAACTCAAAATGCCTTCTTGTTTTGTTTCTTAAGTATGGAATTGATGAGGAATATAAACTAATTTAGCCTTTAACCAACCTTGATTATCTGAAGATGTAGGGACAAGAGAAGTCAATTAGTCATAGAGATCTTGAAACGGAGCATCAATATTACAACAATTTCCGAAAAACAGTGCAGTCTACGAAGACAGATTTAATCAACTCTAAATACTGAGAGAACACATAAACCATGCTGGTATAGCTAAAAGTGAATTAATCTCTCAACATATTCTGAAGCTTCTTACTTTCAGCCATTACGCTGAAGAAACAATCAAAGCAGCTTCAATAATTGCGAACGACAATGAGGAAAGAGAAGTAGACAAAACATAACTGTTTGAATAAACTAAGATCTTGAATTCATTTCATCGATACTATTGTATCGTCAGGATACTCTAGGAGGAAACTATCATTTCTTAGCACAAAAGAACCTACTAAATAGATTGGATCATTACTAATCCCTTCTGTGTAGAATAGTAAATCAGATGAGAAACCTTACTTTCAGACTGATTATAGTATAAGTATGTTTTCTCATAAATGAATTAGTTAGTTCATCATGGGAAATACCTTTAGATCGATGATTGCCTTAAACGGCATAACTTTCTACTATTAGGTCATTGAGTAATATTTTATACAGCAGATAAATGTGTAATTTCTAGCTACATATTTCCCTGGATTGAAGTGATTGGTCTGTAATAGCATGTTGGAGTCAGGAGAAGGGTACTAGACAAGTCGATTGATGAGGTTGCGAACTAATCTTAGTCGACTGAGATGGCTTAAACATGTACTGCGTATACTGAACCACTATGTGCCTCGACGTGCTATGCTAGGTGGGATTAGGGTTCAAAGGGGGCAGATCAAGACGTCTCCTACTGTTAGTCTGAGCTGTGTGGGGAGATGTAGACTACCTGACTGGGGTCTCTGAGACGAGAGGAATCAGTGGATGAGAACTCTTGGTAACATGGTAGGAAACCGACCACTCTTTGGCTTCTTCTAAACTTTGAATATTTGCACCAATCTTTATCTTCAAATTGCTTGTTCTCTCATATGACTTCGTCTACCTTCATATCCACGGATTCTCAGTATATTACTGTGAAGTGTGGCAACTTCAACCGATGAACTTGTGTGCGAGGTCCTGTCTTTATCTATCTGCGTTTCACATTTCACTGCTAATCATCATCAAAGGCGAAATAACATCAAAATAGAATCCAGAACAACAGTCCAAAAAGTGAAGCTTCTATGCCGACGGATGCCGATAGATTCAGTTGAGTAAAATGACCCATGTAAACATAAATATCGAACCGATCAGTTCAATAGGTACTATTTAAGTAAACAACTATTCACTGCTCATTAGTGACTGGTTCTTAGATGAACTTCTCAAAGTTCAAATAAGAAACTGTGATCTGGTGGGTTAACAAAGTTGGAAGATGCCCTACCAGAGATGTCAGATAGTGGTCGCACCATATAATACATAAATAGATTGTAGTTTGACAATATGAACCGCCAAATTTTAACCTATCGACTAAATATCAACGTGATGATTATGAGACCAGGTGTTTTGTTCGCTCAAATACTGAGGAGTCCGGAAGTAGGAAAAAACAAATATTTACTACACCATCACTTCAATGGCTACCTACCTAGTGTTAGTTATCGATGAGAAACCATCTTCAGTTGAGAAGGGAACTTTCGACTCAACTTCAACTTCCGACGAATATATACAACGACTGTCAAGTTGCTAAACACAGTAATGAAACTTTAGATTCACGACAAAATTGCCCTAGAGGATTTTAGAAAGTAAGTCAACTACATAAGATATCAGGATTAATTGGATTTCTAAGTGTGTATGTATGGGAGTATTTAAGTGTGATTAGACTATCTATATCAAACCACAAGTCAGTAAATAGAAAAGGCTTAAACATTTCCACAGAATGTGACAAGTTCTTTAGGGGTCGCGTAAACCTCTGACTATCTGTTTTCTATCTTTAAGTTGAGTGTTTTATTACAGATAGATGGTGATTCGCATTATACGCTTAAGAGTCATTGTCAACTATCATATTTTATAGATAGTTTAGTACTTATTCCCCTTAGACTTAAGTCTATAGAAGATCAAACAACAGGTTAACAGATGGGTGTAAGTGAATCATCAATTCAACTTGTCACAATAACACCGAAAGAGAAATTAAATCGAAAAGCAGAAAGATATCAAGAAAGGGTGAATCAGTAAATGATAATTGATTAGGTGTTTACGATTTAATGAGAATAAGGAGGGGATAATACATTTTTGCCATTGTCATCGATTTTGTTCATATCATGAAGAGTTTACGATCAATGATTTCTAGCATAACAAACTCTCGATAGCGTAATTAGAAGACGAAGTTGATCTGAACACAGTGTGTATCGTGCAGTATGCGTAATACATTTCGAGCAATCTGACCCCCATATACTTACTTGTCAAGTCAATATATATTAAACTGAAGAGTAGGAAGATAAATACAATAATTAGGATAAGTAGGGGATCAAAGTTAAGAAAGATGAAAACAAACAGGAGGTGATATAATTGATCCTAATCTTGATAAGAAAAGGTTTACCAAGGTAGGTAGGTGTAGTGTACACGAACAGATTGTTTTCGCAAACATAAAGGTGGTTTCAATTTGTTTGTGGCTATGACTTCCGCGAATCTCCGTATATGTTCCTGACTGTTTCTATATAAGACTTTGAAAGGTATTTGAGCATTAATTTTGTGATATATATCTAGATATAGATAGAGAAGGTCGTCTCCCGCCAGCGTTTATCACGGTTTCATGCTCCACTTTTTTTGAAGCCCTTTAGCTACATGTTATACCACCCTCAACTACATGGTTGGATTGCTCCTCCCTATGTTTGTGTGACCACACACAAGCACACACGTAAATTGGTAAACCCAATGGGATGTTTATTAATTGATTTTAGGTTGGGATTCATCATGGACTGATATCAGTTAGAAGAACATTGAAAACGTTGGAGCACTGGACAGCTGTTCCGTCCTAGTAGGGGACTCATCAGCAGCGCGCACTCATGACTCCACCCCGCCAAGGGTCTAACGCAAGACCTTCAGGTTCCGTGGCCAATCAACCAAGTCTGACATGACGGCAGTTACTCAACGACGACATTGGATGTAGGCCGCGCTATATGGTGAACTAACAGAAGTTGGAAATACAGACCATTGGTAGCGTGCTGGTCATGGGACCTAAAGGTCGTGGGTCCGATCTCTAGGGGGGCGTGGTTATGGGTGCGCACTGGTGAAAAGTCCCATAGCAGGACAAAACAGTTGCTCAGTACTCCTGGGTTTCCAATGTTTCTCTAACTGTTGCCAGTTCATGATGGATTCCAACCTAAAAACAATAGGATGTGACGTAATCATTGATGCAGCGTTTAGGTTTGAGGTGAAGCATGTTTTTAGTTTTTTCCATAGTATTATGATTAGCTGAGCAATATATTTCCTTAGTGACTGATATTTTCTTACCTTTTCATTCTTATCTTTCTTAATTTTAACTCCCTGTTTATCTTAGCTGTTGTATTTGTCCTCCCACTCTTCAGTTTAATATATATTGACTGTGGAGGATCAGATTGTTCGAAATATATTGCGCAAATACATGACATATACTGTATTCAGATAAACGACGTCTTATAATTACGTGGTCGAAATTTAAAAAAGGGATTAATTATTTCAAAATAACAGACTTTATCGACTAATGTCCGTTCTCCATTTTAATATTTTCGCTTCAGTCAGTAGGTTACTCGTTGAAGTAGATGTAACCTTGGCGGACGTAAAACATGTATAAGTTATTTTAGTGAACATAACCCAAGCAACAAACAAAGGTTTTATTTACACATTCAGGAAATCACCTTCATAAATCTACATTACAAACACAATATAAGTTTACAGATGATAATGTTTAGGGTAAGCCATAAAACCACCATGATGATGGTTTATCCCGTTTACACCAAATTGAATCAACACGTGAGTGAATATCTGGTTCTTTCGTTTCACTTTCTTCAGTCTCTTTAGTACTATTTAATTCTGTTTCACTAGTAGTCTCTTCTTCGTGTTTTTCAGCTTGTTTTTGTTTTTCTAAATATTTTATCATTTCAATACGAGATCTATACGCCATTAGATAGGATCTTGGATGAATTGGTAGAAATCCGCATAAACCTAATAATTCAGCAACACGTGTAGTTGGTTCAGCTCCCATACCTAACCAATAAGAGATACGTTCAAAATTTAATGCAATCAATTGTTCTCCATGGATATTAGGTAATGGATCCCATGAACCAACTTGTTCAATGCCAGGTCTTTTTGGTTCAGCAAGATTAGATTTAACCTTTGGAAGACAAAAAAAACAACAATCAATTTTTAAACAAGGTAGTTTTAAGCATAGATGAAGAAAAAACTTTATTTTAATATGAAAATTAAAACAACTTTCATTAATTTGATATATATATATATATATATATATATATATATTAATATATGATCATTAGGTGTTTCACACCTTAGTGTTGATCGAATTGTACGGATTGTTCACCACTTTCATGAATGATACAATGTTGCAATAGACTTTTATTAATGTGATGTATTTATAGATGATGGAAAAGAAACATCATATGCCTAAGTTTCGTCTTCACTGGCACTCATCAATAATGTGAGTTTGGAGTTGATATCAGAGATATTACCATCGAGGTTTTCGGTTCAAGCTGAAAAAAATATGCGCAGTTAAGCGTAGTTATGTGTCAGATAACTTAAAGGATCAGAGGCAGATAAACTTTTCTTTTAACTCAATAAGATGGGTAGATTTATAAATGTAAGTGGATATTTTAACCTCGCCTGGTTAACTAGTCCACTAGTTACTAGCTGGTCCTAAGCCCGGATAAAGAGGGAAGGTTGGACATAGGGCTGGCAACCCTACCATTAGGAGACATTATGCGCCAGGCCCTCGAGTGGAGGCCAAGTGGGAAACAACGAGTTGGGCGTCCGAGGGTGATACAGAGATCATGTGAGGAAGAAATGAAAGCTTCTGGACAGTCGTGAAGTCAGGTTGTTAAGACCGGAGAGAACAGAGTGAAATGAAGAAGTGCTACTGAAACCCCATTTTCCGCTAGGAACTCAAGGGACAAATAATAATAATAATAATAAATTTTACGTACTTCATTAGTCAAAAGTGAGACTCACTCAGTATCTTTGTGTACATTCATGCAGTAGGCAATGAGCCACATGCCTATTGTATGAAGACTAATGAAATTATCTAACTGCTCAGAACTCGACAGGTGGAGCAATGTTCGAACCAACAAAGCCATTTAGGCTGGAAAACGATAAATATGTTGATGTTAATATTTTTTATATAGACCATGCATGATATGGTCTTGTGTTTACAAGGGGGTACTAGTTTAGAGGCTAGAAATACGCGTAACTGATGAACGTCAACAAAAATTTGACTATTTCTAACAATCAAGTACAAGTCAACAACTTATCTCTTAGCTAATTGGAAACAATCAATAGGAAGCTCTGGAGGACCTAGGTTTCATGACTGTTGGCACTCATCAGTAAGGCCTGCTGTCCACTCTGAGATTCAAACCCGCGTTACCCAGTACGACAGAGGCGTTACCACCGAGCTATTCACAGCACAAATAGCCTTCTGTAGGACTTGATTACATACATTGATCAGTCACTAGAGGGTAAGTAATTTCATTTTGTCTCCAACAGACTAACACCTATAGAAGTGTACCATGATGGTGAGTATGGTGTTCAGTTGAGTAGGAGTGATGTGGTGTAGACTATAAAAAACACATTACCGAATCCATCAAGTTGTTGATTATTACTTTGAGCTATGCTTCGGCAACTAGAACTCCACTACAGTTGAAAGCCGAAAGATACCTGGAATCGATAACTCCAAATAACAAATTACAGGAGTTGAACTGAAATCTAATGATATAGATGAATCCACTTTTTACTTCACTTTGAATATGGAATAATCTACTATTCTGAGTGATCTTTTGTAATTCATCACAAAATACTATTCCCATCCATCCATCCAAAACAACATAGGACCAGGCATTACTGCGTAACGGTCCGAGTTGCCACACCTCATATCAGTACATCAAATAAAAAGGCAGTGAAGTGCAAGATGAAGATATGAAATACAAAGTACGAAGAGAAAGGAAGGATGAGAAAATAGTGAGATTCGGTATAGTGTCGTTCAGATGAGGATAATGTGTGCACATATCTGCGCCACTGACATCGGTTCTGAGCCATATCACCTAGAGTCTCCAACAACTGGTTCCTGTTGTCCCGCGGACGCCAACCGGCTAGTCTGCATCGCCCCACATGACCTTACTATTTCACAATGTACTAACATGAAATGATGCACTGTGTTTCAGTAGTCAACCAATCAATAATAACTATTCAGTTCAAAAGTGTTACAGAAAACCAATTAAAATTCATTTAGCATTGGTCTCCGGTGACAAAATTATCCAGAATTTCAACTATCCACACTGTTTGAAATTTACTACTCGCTGTATAATGCTAATGCAGTTGAAGGACAAGCTTTCAAATCTGGCCACATCTAAGTGCATTTAGAAATTTAACTGCTCCTTTAGACATAGTTACATAGGTAGAACGACTCGGTAAGCCCACCAATGCTTCATTAAGTACTGTTCAGCGTGGTTAGGCAAAGGAACAGTGAAATCCATCAAAAGCTCAATACTCGCCCATGTAGTACATACTGAGCATAAGATTGACAAAACCTTAACATTTACTATTATTTACAAAGTCCCATCACAATACTCTAAGTTTGTGCTCCTCTGATTGCAAAGCATAGCAGAATCTATAGCAATTAAATTTTTTAAACTTAATTTATGTATTCGGAAGATGTCTGTTCGTTCTCTTTACCTCACATGGCCTTCAACTTCAACCCAGATACAATTACAATAAATTCCTTCAAGTTGTTATTCATCGCAGACTGACATCAGTTGGAGGAACAAAGGAAACCTGGGAGCACTGGACAGCTGCTGTTTCGTCCTAGTATAGGACTCCTCAGCAGTGCGCACCCACGACCCCACCAGCAGGCATCGAACCCGCGACCTTCAGGTTCCGCGGCCAGCGCGTTACCATCGAGCCACTGGATCAGAATCCAATGCTCCATATTTCCAACTTCTGTTAGCTCACGATATATAGCGCAACCGCCACCCAATGTCATCGCTGAGTATCTGTCCTCATGGCCATCAGGCTTTGACTCCACCGGTAATGAGGACAGATAATCAGCGATGACATTGGGTGGCGGTTGCGCTATATCGTGAGCTAACAGAAGTTGGAAATATGGAGCATTGGATTCTGATCCAGTGGCTCGATGGTAACGCGCTGGCCGCGGAACCTGAAGGTCGCGGGTTCGATGCCTGCTGGTGGGGTCGTGGGTGCGCACTGCTGAGGAGTCCCATACTAGGACGAAACAGCAGCTGTCCAGTGCTCCCAGGTTTCCTTTGTTCCTCCAACTGATGTCAGTCTACGATGAATAACAACTTGAAATAATTCCAAATCTCCACGACTCCCTCAAAATAAATTCCTTCCGGATCACCCAGATAAATGTGAATATTATCGCTGTTTATACTCTTATCTATCATTATCATTTTATTTTTCGCCCTTAGTTTTGTAATTGATTAGGAATTTTAACATTTTATTATCTAATCGCTATGCGACAATGATTTTATTTCCCTCTATGCCTACACACACACACACACCTACAATGATTGAGACTACTGAGAACGTAATATAAACTTCCCGAGATTTTGTTTCTGTTATTATCACCTTTAGTGTTATCGGCTAATTCATATACCCGAATTAATTTAACCATGTTGGTATCAAATGAAGAGTATGCTGAATAATTTATAAGTGCAATTGTAAAGCCTGCTGACAATTTACCGAAAATACGATGTATTCACTTCAAACTCTGTCTTCTAATTATCCACGATTTTCCAAAGAGTTAACCAATCTTTGATAAGTTTCTTTTATACAAACTACACAGCTGAATTTTAAAAAGTAACCAATAGTTGGTTATAATGGTAAAAGTGAGGATAACACCCACTTTCCTCTAGACCACTGAAGGATCGAAAGCCAAAGAGTCAGGAGGGTATGCGCATTGGACCAGTCAGTATACATGAATCCATAGTTCAAAAAATTTGTAACCTCACCTGTATAGTATAGAAAGGTCTGTTAGCGCATCCTTCTCTGACAAGTGAAATACGAGTTTTATGACGAAAACGTACGGGATAGAGTTTTACAACACGACTTTCACGATTTATTGGTTGATGAGGCCACCATGTACTAGATTTATCAGGACCAGGAATGAATATTTTGTCATCTGAAGATGTAGACTGAGTTGATTGATACACAAAAGGTTTTATATCGTTACATCGTGAACGTAAAAGTGGAATTTGTCCACTTTTGGATTTTAAACTGAATAAAGGGGAAATTCTAGAAAGAAAAAGCAGAAATATGATTGGAAGAAAAAACAATTGGGAACAAATATGAACAAATATAAAACAATGTCAAATAATATGATCAGAGAGAAAACTACTGATGAAACGAACAACAGGAATTGAAATGCATCTATCCAAACATTGTGAAGACTGTCAAGAAGGTAATGTGACAAAAACAGTATTTCAATGAAAGGCATCAAAAAATAATCCAACGGCATGCTCTCTTGATCATTTTCATTGAAGCAAGAACAAAATTCGCAAAATAAATTAAGCTCATACTTATTCATTCATTTCACGACTACTCTTCACTTGTAAGAACAGTTTAGAATATAAATACAGAATTAATATGCGATAAAATGAGAAACATGCTAGTTGGATGGAAGCAATCGGTACGAAGCCGTGGACCTAGGTTTCGCGCTTGTTGGCACTAGTCAGCAAGGTGTATCTGTAACCCCCACGGAACTGGTGTCCCACCTGAGATTCGAATCCGTATCACCCAAGACTAGTGTGGAAATGGACTAATCAAAAGTAGTTTGAATTTGCAGGATTTGTGGGGATTTAGTGATTTTTCAAGTTGGTATTCATCATGGACTGACATCAGTTGGAGAACCATTGCAAACCTTGGAGAACTGGACAGCAGTGTCATCCTAGTATGGGGCTCTCCATCAGTGCGCACCCATGACCCCACTTCACTAGGGGTCGAACCCACGACCTTCAGGTTCCGTGGTCAACACGTTACCATTAAGCCAATGGTCCACATTTGCTACTTTTGTTAGTTCACGACATAGCGCGACCACTAACCAATGTCATCGTTGAGTATTTGTCCTTACGTTCATCGTTTGCCCCACTGGTCACGAATTCTCATTGGAACTTCAGGAATCACCTCTTGAAGCTAGTAACCAATGAGCACTAGACCAATAGAGTTTGAATGAGGGGGGGGTGTTGTTGTTGGGGATTTAGTGATTTTTCAAGTTGGCATTCATAATGGACTGATATCCCCAATATTCCTCCAACCGATGCCAGTGTTTATGATGAATACCAACTTGAAAAAACGTAGTTTGTGTTATTCACATCTACCGTTAAACTGACTGCCGATCGATCGGTCAGTCAGTGTCATTATTAATGTAAGGGAAAAACTTGGGCAGTATGGTATTGCATAGTTCCATATTAGATTGTTTATTTCATACAGCACACAGTAGCACAGTATAATTTACTGGAGGATATTTCGAGCAGAACTTATTGCTTATATTCATATCATAGTAATCCTACTACTTTCAAACTTCCTTTATGTAGTCCAACAGCTCTTCATTCCTTCATCTTAATGGTAATAACGTCTTCCACATATCAGCAATATGTGATGAGTCATTCGTTCCAGTTACATATGTTAGGTGTTGATTCATCCAACAAAGGTTCTGTGATCAATCTCTCCCTCCACCTAGGTATGTTGGATTTTAGAATTGTCGCCTTATCCCACCCACCCTATAGTATGATTATGGGTTAGTGGATGCACAGCTATAGCTGAGTTGAATATTTCGATAAAACTTTTGTGTTCTGCTATTCTGACTGGCCCAGGTCGGCTGCTTTGAGCTATGTACTTGACCTCACAATCATTACACGGTATTTGATAGATCAGGTTATTTTGTTTAATTGGCTCTAGAGAATCTTTTGGCCTACAAAGTTTATATCTGAGCGAGTTTGTGGGTCTAAATTCCACCTTAATCCCAGCATCTTTAAGAATTCTACGTAAAATTTTTAATGTGTCTTCTTTAAATGGCAATTCTTCAGGGGATTTGAATTCCCTCTTAGGCCACATCGCAGTCATCCTTAACGTTACCACTCCTCATATCAATCCCCATTAACTTCTTAAAAAACTACAGAGGGTCGCTGATTACATCTCCTACTTCATTTCCTCTTATTCGCCTAGTTTGTTTTTATTACCTATTCTATATATATTACGCAATCTAACAATCATTTGTTTGTTTCTGTGTTAAAAATCTGCTACTATTAATATTAATATTATTATTGTGCAATTATTGTCATTACCATTGTTATGACAGTGACTATTTTATCGTTTTTACACTATTCCAAACACTCGCTGTTAAGACTAAAGGAACTTTCTTTCTAACTGATAAAATCAACGTAAAACCTTGCACATAGGTGCATCGGTTCAAGTTGTCACACTTCTCAATAGTATACAAAAAACAGGTGGATAGAGCAATGCTGATATTAAAAGAGACAAAGTTGTATGACAGAATAAACAATCTGAAGACAAAGGTTAGTGGAAATATTCAAGCTTTAGAAGGCGTCAAGTATGAAATACATCTGCACCACTGAGACTGAGTTCTTGCCATGTCACCAGGAGCTCTCAACCATTGATTCCTGTCGTTTCAGAGGCCCCAGCCAGGTAGTCTACATGTCCCTATACAACTTAAACCAACAGTAAGAGACTTCATCGGCTGGTGCCACGTAGTCGTCTGGCCACCCTGGCTCCTCTTCCAGTCTAATCCAAATCCCTCTAGCATGGCATAAAGAAGTACGCAATGGCTCCGCATGTGCAGAACATGTTCAAGCCAGTCGACTAAGACTTACAACCTCATCAATCGACTAACCTATCTTACCCAGTACTCTTCGCCTGACCTCAACATTCTTCAAGCGGTGATTCCACCAAACGCGAGCACTTCTACGAAAACACTTATGACCAAAACCCTGAAACAGCCCATCTTTTAACAGCTGTTTCGTACGCGTATAAAAGGATAGAATGGGCTGCAACACAGTATACTCATCCTTTGATAGATAACTGGGAATTTTGCCAGTCCGCGCCATAGATGACGCTTGTTTGCAAATGCAAAACAGGCCTTGTGTATCTGAGCTGAGATTTTGTCAGCCTGTTTGGTCTGATGCGACTCCTCAAGTAAATGAAGTGGTTGACACATGCCACCACTTCACTCCCTATCATTAAACTGGGAGTACTTGTAACAGACAGTGTCTGGAGCATCATTTGACATTTGACGGATGCCAGTGTAACGCGTGCCAGCCAAACATACTCAGATTTCTGCTTAACGCATTCATAAGAATCTGGATTTTTCAGCATCTTCAACTAGCAGGAAAATATCATCTGCATACTCCAAGTCAACCAGATGACCTCCAGGGAGTAGGTCAATCTCTGTCCATTAGTACGTCTATGACGAAGTTGAATAGGAACGGTGACAATGGGTATCCCTAGTGGATACCACTGGTTGTCATCAATTCTGATGACAACTCTCCATAAGCTCTTATATGGCTGCATGAGTTCGAGTAAAGAGCTTTGATAAGCATTATATACTTGAGGGTACCAAGTAAGAGATTATCATGAAACCCAATAAGGTGAACTTAAGCGTATAAGATAGACCATATCAGAGACAATGGGTTGGCGTTATTGAGTATTGGGAAATTGCAAATATCGGAACCATCATTCCTCAAACATCCTGAAGGAGTTACACTGCTAAATTTGATCAATTCACTTCCGAAATATTTGATGTAATCCTATGATTTTTAAAGAAAAGGTCGTTGTGTAACCTACAAATCATTTCACAAAATCATTCAAACTTTACCAATAGTCAATTAATACATAAAATAGGAGTGTCTATAGGTCAATAGTTAGGTGACTCTCATTCAAAACAACCATCTACAACTAGACATCAAATATTTCAACCAGTCAGCATCAACAAGTGACTTGGCATTACTGCGCAACTGTTAAATTTGTCACAACTAACTAGAAGGCAAACTAATGAAAGAGAGGAACAAAGGGGCAAGGAAACCAAAAGTGGTAGAAAAAATCGTGGAAAGAAAGTAAGAAGGAATGAAATGTTAGTGAGATACGGTATAATGATTCAGATGAAAATAATGTATGAGTGCATATGCATCATTGAGATCGATTCTGAGTCATATCACTTAAAGTCTCCAATCATCGATTAGAGTGTCACACGAACCACAACGGTTCATAATAGCAGCCAAAGACTTTATGTCATGTTTCACTCTAGTCGCCTTTGACATCCTTTTAGCTAACATAGCTCAACACGGTAGACGATGACACTAGGCGCGTGAAAAACATATCCTAGCCAACTGCGTTGATGAAGGTTTACATTCTCATCAACTGACATACCTCCTTTGCCTAAGACTCCAAGCCTAATGTCAACGCTGCTACCATAGTGATTGAACGATATTTGGTCAAGGCCTCAAAGAAAATGGTGGTTGAACATCTATAGCCTTTCCATGTTTTACAAGTGAATTAGTATGTATGGCTGGAGATGACATGAGAAGGGTATTTACCTACTTCATATGGTGGCGTAAACTGAGATACATAGCTTAGGAGAAGGGAACCTTTTTTCTTAGTTCAACTATTATCTATTTATTTATACTTTCGGATTCCTGTCAAGTGTCAGAAGAATGAAAACTGATTTTTTTCTCAACAATCGGATGTTTAGGTTCTTCGGTATATTTCCTTCTATGAGAGAAAATGATGACATTTTTATGGAATCTATTTCTTAATGTAAATAGCATATTACACTAGTGCAATAGACAGAGTGATTTGACTAAAGTTAATCGAGCTTTTTATATCCATGCAGAGATTTGGTTGATCATTGACTCATCAGGGTTGATCCGACTTCTCAAATAAGTTAAGTGGCCAACTACTTCACTCCCTACTATCACACGAGGTATCGAAATAAAACAGTCGTGAGGCAACAATTTGGATGGTAAAAACGCATCTCGAGCATTCTCAAATTGTTGCTTGAAGTGTTTCGAATGCTATGCACATTATCAGCGTCTTTACCTGACATGACTGCGTCGTCTGCATATTTTAGGTCAACAACTAATGAGTCGATTGTGATAAGATCGACTCCGGTAAAATAAGATGAAGAAAGGGAGACTATCATAAGTACGCCTATGATTCAGGTGAATACAAAATAAAGGGAGTTAACATCCTTGATAGACATCACTCGACACATACAATCCTTCTGATACGATACCATAGGCTTGAACACGAACACGCATCATGGAACTCAAAATAACATCTGTACAGTGGGCAATGACCCATACCTCTTGTGTGAGGGCTAATGATAATATCTGGTTGCTCAAAAGTCCCTCGTTAGGTGGAGCAGGGTCTGAACACGTGACCCACTGGTTAAAAGTCAACTGTTTAGCCAATAAACTACAACTCCACTAAATAGGTAGTTATCGAAAGCAGTCTTCTTAAGTATGTATTTGAAAGGTATTCTTGATCAGTTTTGAGGTTTGAATTGAATGTTGCTGTGCTGGATTAAGGATTTATGGCGGTTCAGTAAGTGTAGTCGACTCACTAATAGACCAAATTTATACCGCTTTTAAGTAGGAAGCATCTTTCAGGAAGACGATGGTGATTTCCACAGTGAGATATGTCAGTAGTAGGCAACAGTTTAACATTTACATGAGCTTGCCAGAAAACCACCAGCAAAAAGGATAGAGCCCTTTATTGGATCTGTTTTGGGAATACGATTCAACGCGGTTGGTCTCACAAATACTTCAAGGTGGCACGGAATTCCGACTCTACTGCAGAAGCAATAGTTTACAAAACCCAACACTTAATAGAATCTTATTTGAATTCTACACACATGCTGGGTTCATGTTGAATACGTTTGAGAAGGAAGCTTGTAAACTGTTTTGTTTTGTTAAGTAATGGATACAAGAAGACTTGATGGTGGAGTTCTATGCTTACAGTTGTTAGCCGCAGTGTGAATATACACACTCATCTAGATTGTAAGCCATTATCTTGCTAACTTTTCAGTGTCTAACAGTAATGCTGTAGCGCATCCACTATCCATTATGGTAAAAATAAATAATAGCGATATTTGTGCGTGCAGTGTGCATTAACCGCTTGATGGTATTAACCACATTGATGGTGATGGGTAGTTTACATAGACCCGCCTTCATGAATTCGAAAATCATCAAAATAACCCATATCCATCTAGATCGAATTTCAACTGAGTTGACTGACTGACAAATCAACGTAAAACCTCGTATACAGGTGCGTCGGCTCAACTTGCCACACTTCATAGTGATACAAAAAGGACAGATAGATCGAGAAAGACTCACATCAAAGTAGATAAAGTAGGGTGAGGAAGTAAACAATCTGGAGACAAAGGTTAGTGCAAATATAGAAGCCTTAGAAGATGTCAAAGAGTGAATACGACTGCACTACTGTGACCGATTTCTAGCCATGTCACCGACGGTCCTCAACCACTTGTTCCTATCGTCTCGGGGATCTCAACCTGGCAGTCTCTCCACACAAACCAGACCAACAATAAGCGACTTTGTCGACTGGTGCCACATCTTGATCTGGCCACCCTGAACCATCTTTCAACTTCCCCTAGCACGGAACATCGATGAGGACGGTGGCTCAGTACATGCCCAGACCATCTCAGTCGATTAAGGTTCACAATCTCATCAATCGAGTTGCCTAGTAGCCTTCGTTTAACTTCAACATTGCTAGATATGGTGATTTCACCAGACGCGAGCAATGCCACGAAGACACCTGTAGTCGTAACCTTGGGGCAAATTCATGTTTTCCACTTTTAACAGCCATGTCTGACAGCCGTATAACAGGACAGAGCAGACTGCAGCACAGCATACCTATCCTTTGATAGACGATCGGATATCTCTCCATTCGGCGCGAGAGATGATGCATGTTGGTAAATGCCAAACAGGCCTTCTGTATCCAAGCTGAGATTTCATCAGCAACCATCCTGTTTGGGCTGATGGAACTCCCCATGTACTCACTAAGGAGATAGCAACTTACTTTTCCCTGTGAAGGCCTCGCTAAAGATAATGCCTTAACTCATGCTGAAAGCCATATCTTTCCAAACTCAAGCTCAGAGAACACTTAAATCAGCAGAATATTTAAGACTTGAGATGAGAATATTTACCATCATATTCATAAATGTACATCCTTACACCTACGCAAGACATATGTTGAAATGATAACTTGTGAATAGGTGGTATTCTAGATTGGCTACCGTTTTGAACTCAACATTGAATGATTGAAAAACCTTCGACACGAGTTTAGATATTGATGTTGCCAACAAGCAAGGCAACTCTGTAGTCTTTAGGATAATTATTTGAGACTAGAAAAGCTCATCGACAATCCCTTTAACTAAGGCGGTGAATGATAAAATATGGAATATTTAAATGTGTATGAATTTTCTCGGTGTTGTAGATGCATAATACTGACGAATTTCAAACAACGAAAATTTCGAGTTCACAGTTTTTTTCCAGTTGCCTGCAACAATACACGTTCGGTTACTTAGCTTAATGACCACATGAAACAATTTGTTTGTAATTTCCAACTGGGAATAAACAAACAGGCAGTAACACTAACTACCAGTCGGTTAGTGACACAAACAATCTACACAGAAAAAAACAACCTAGATCTATGAAGGAAAGAAACCTGAAACCTCGATTATGTGTTCTACTTTTCAAAGCAAACCATACTAAAGACGAAATTCTACACTGAGACATACCTCTGCACAGCACCATGTGTTATCATCGCAGTTGAACAGTGGCTTGATTACGAAAATGATGAAATAAGAAAATGGTCTGTAAAGAAAAATACACAAGAAACAAATTCGATATAATTTGATGTCTAATTTAATACGAATACTATAGGGAATGTTCGCAGAGATTCAGTGAACTATATTCATATTAGGATTTTTTAGAAATACACCAACACATTAAATGCCCATAGGCTGCTGATTGTAGTCCTGCTGCAACTCAGACTTTCGTTTAACCTTCAATCATTACACAGCATCAATATTACAAGTTAGTCAAACCACGGATATCCCAGTCAAATTGCTAAAAAAATACAAGAAGTTTATTTCTTATCATCAGTGTACTTGTATGGTTTTCAGACCATGAATCGTACGCTAACGCTTAGGTAATGAGAAGCAAAATGACAGATAGATAAATGGGTTTACATAGAACGTGGTACAAAAATGCATTGCTTCATGTAGGCATACTTTGCAGCAGCACAGAAAGAAGCAGACGGCCAGTGGAAAAGCAGTAGCATTGCACGCATATACCAGTAAGTAGAAATTTATAAGTAATCAATCTTTAAAGGCTTATTTGTGCTCATTTAATATTAAAATCTAAGTTGAAAAGTGAATATTTACTTAATTTTATGCCTGGTTTTGTTTCCTTCACTTCTGAAACTGAGAGTAATAGTAACTCACACTAATTATTTGTTGTACCTAGTTGAACACTGATCGCCCAAAGCAATCAAAAACCAAAATCCACTGAGTAACCTTGAGCACATTTCTGCAGTAGACAATGAGCCATACCTGTTATATGAGGGCTATTGATACTATTTGGTTAATCAAACCTCTTTAGGTGGAGCTGAATTCGAACTCGTGACCCATTAGTTGGAAATCTTGTGCCTAAACCGATGGGACACAGCTTCATCGACCATCCACATGGAGGGTTTCGCAGAAAATAATTATGAAGTAATTTAAGATAGTCATCATTACTTTCTTTTTTAAGAAGAGAGTCTAAGTGAGTTCAAACAGCTTTTATACAGTAATGTTCCGCTTACAATCTTCAGTGAGGGGATTTATTCCACTTACCGCTGACTTGTAATATATTTGACCTAACTACATAGCTTGCTGCGTAAACTCGTGTTTGCAGTTTCTTGTCTTTTTTATTTCGCATTTATTTCTTTGGTCTTTTTCGTTTCACTGCAATTCAAATTAAAAATTTTAATCCCTGGGTAGATGAAGGTAGAACAGATAGATGAAGCAAATCTACCTTCTGAACAATTGGTTTTAACGTAGAACCTAGCAAGTAGGTGAACTGGTTCCAGTTGCCACACTTTGCAGCAGCATGCAAAGAAGTGGTTGGAAAGAGAATATTATGTAAGAAGACAAGTGTATGAGGGAAAAACAGATAAACGTCAGTGAAAACATTCACATCACTATCAAGGTCGAAGGTCAAGAGAAAGCTTCAGGTGTTTAACCGGAGTTATTTCATAGTATTATGTGAGTGGCGTACAACCACCATGTAGAGGTAAGACACAGAATAAGAAAAGACACCGTCTCACATTGCGACCATCAAAATCAAACCAACGATAGACACAGGTAGACTATATTGCTACAAGCCATCACCAGAGAATTGCTGTTCTTTCTGGAGTACCTACTTGAACTCTGGTCACGGGTCACCACATGCTCATGTATTTATTAGCCTTAACGGCAGTGGAACACAGGCATCAGTTAAGCATTTGCATGCTCGACTGGAAGATGAAAACACCAATTACATATTTGGGAAGATAGCTAAGCGTTTATCTGAACGTTACATCACTGCTCATTCTGAGGAAATCTGGGGGTGATCTTCAGTTTGCTGTAGAAACAGTGGGAAGGACAGTTGATAACCTACATCAAAAAAGTTAGTAAACGCTATCCAAACTGATTTATACGAGAAGACTCAGTTCAGCAGACTCTAACCACGATAAAGAGTGAAAGCAAGTTAAACGTAAATTAACTGGGAGTATCTGCGATCATCGCAAGCAGTGATGGGTAATAAAAAGGAGGGATGGAGAAAATCTCACCATTAGGTAATAGTCAGCAATTATTTAGGCTGATGAAGGACAGCAGCAAGAAGATGACGATGGTGAGTGAAACCATCATCGAAGAAGATAGGACGCTGATAACCTCTTTCAGAACAGGCGGGTAGAACATTAGGCGCAAAACTCTGACAGCAGTCCGGTCTGTTCTACTGTATGGCTGTGAAATATGGCCATTGAAGGTGCAAGACATGAGAAGGTTTCAACTGTTTGACCACCTTTGACCTCGTAGTATAAGCCGTATTCCGTGGTGTCACCACGTGAGTAACGCAGAAGCCAGGTGTAGAGTTTTATGGAGAAGAGGTAAATCAGTTGACACGGTTTTGAACCTTCATCGATTGAGATGGTTGAGACACGTACTACATATGCCTAGTCGCCGGTAGCCTCGTCACACAATGTTAGTCGAAGTAGGTCCAGGTTAGAAAAAGGCCCAAGGTGTCCAGACTAAAATATGGCATCAATGTATGAAGTCTTCGACTGTTGGTTTGAGCCATGCAGGGCTATAGAGACTAGTCGGTTGGGGTCCGCGAGACAAGGTGAAGCAGTGGTTGGAGACTCTAGGTGACATGGCTGAGAACCGATGTCAGTGGCGCAGATGTATACACACATTATCCTCATCTTAACGACACTATACCGAATCTCACCATTTTCTCATTCTTTCTCTCTTTTCGTACTTTATATTTCTTTCGACTGAATTTTCTTATCTTCATCTTGCACTTCACTGCCTTTCTACTTAATGTACTGATATGAGGTGTGGCAACTCGGACCGTTATGCAGTAATGTCTGGTCCTTTGTTGATATTGATGATGATGGAAAACTGAAGCATAGTTCGAACAGTTCATAGCAACGTTTCAGTTGCCCAGCATCTAGCACGTACCCAAATGGCACATAGATGTCGGTTTTCGTACTGTCTTTGAAGCTGAGAAGGCTGCTTCTCACCTGAAACGTTGCGAAGATGCAGGACCAGCAGGTCTGCCACTTAGCGCCTTTAAGGATAGGGGTAGTAAGTTACTAATTAAATTAACGGAGGTACTAGATAGTGTGTGGGAATCAAAAGTAGTCCTGTCAGAATAGTCTGCTTTACTGACCATTCTAGTTCATGAGAAAAAAGAGAAGTCTTCTTGTGACAAGCATACGCGTGTCAGTTTAACTTACATCATGTCTAAAATTCTTGGGTCTATAGTTATCCGACTCCTCACTGGGACTGCTAACACCAAACTCGAGAAAAAAAGGTAGGTTTCAGACAAGAACGAGGGTGAACTGATCAAATTTACACCCTTCGTCAGCTTCTAGAACGTAGGCATACCTACCGGCGGCCAGTAATTTACTCATTTATCGACCTGAAGTCGCCATCCGAGTCTATCGACTGTGGCAGCGTTTGACTGTGAGGAGTGTACCGGGTAAGTAACGCTAATCAAAGCTCTTTACTCGAACTCGTACAACCATATTGGGGCATTTTGAGAGATGCTACAGAATTGACGACAACTAGTGCTGTTCGTCAGAGATTTCCACTGTCACCATTCCTTTCCAATTTTCTTGCGGATGTACTAATGGACACAATATTAGGTACGTCAGATTTTACATGGATCGATCTACTACCTGGAGATCATCTGGTTGGTTTGGAGTATACAGACGATAGTTGAAGACGCTGGCAAAATAGAAAGTCTTGTGAACGTGTTGGGGAGATATATGAATATATTGGGCATGCGATTCGCACCTGTCGAATGTAAAATGATGCTTCAGAACTGGCGTGCAACTACTCCTAGTTTAAGGATAGAAAGTAAAGAGGTAGAACGTGTTGACTACTTTACTTAGTTGGGGAGTTCCATCAGCTCGACTGGGTTGATTGGTGACGAAATCTCAGCCCGGATACAGAAAGCCCATTTAGCATTTGCCAACTAATGTCATCTGTGGCGCCAACTGGCGAGATTTCCAACCATCTATCAAAGGAATAATATGCTGCGTTGTAATCTATTCTGTTATGCGGCTGAGACACGACCATTAAAAACAGAAGATATAATGCGATTACAAGGTTTTGATTACAAGTGTCTTCGTGGCACTGCTTGCGTTTGGTGGAATCACCGTGTGAGCAATGTCGAGGTCAGGTGAAGAGTACTGGGCAAGATAAGCAAGTCGATTGATGAGGTTGTGAACCTTCGTCGACTGAGATTGCTTGAAAATGTACTGCGCATGTCGAACCACCGCCTACCTCGACGTGCCATGCTAGAAGAGGTTGAAAGAGGGTTCAGGGTGACCAGGCCAAGAGATGACACTAGTCCATGACCGTCAGTCTGAGCCATGTGAGGGGAAATGTAGACTTCCTGATTAGAGTTCGCGGGACGACAGACTTTTGGTGATATTGTTGAAAATCGGTGACAGCGGTGCAGATGTATTTCCTCATTGATGTCTTCTAAAGCTGAAACATTTTGACCAAACTAAATTTTTAAATTTCCTCTCCTTAATATACCTTTGTCTTCTTTGATATCAATTTTTTTATTCACTTGTTCTGTGCATACTATTATGAAGTGTGGGAACTTGAACCGATGGAACTGTGCGGGGTTCTATGTTAATTTTTCTGTCTATCAAGAACAAGGGAAATAACTGAAAATCGAAAAACCTATGTGAGTTGAACAACGAGCAGGAAAAATGTCTAAAAATCAAAGAAAATGGTGGAAATTTGTACTTGCATCGATCGGTTATCCGTCTGGTTGTTAAATTTTGGTGAAAGATGTTCAAAGAGGAATGATTTTTATTGTTGTTAAGTTTACAATACAGTTTTAACAGAGACTCCGCACCTTGTCAGTGTTTTCACCCAAATGACTTTGTCATCTGTGCACTCTAGATCTACTGAGGACTCATCCTTCAATTCAAACGAACTGCTATCGATGGGTGCGTAAGTAGAGACTGCAAAAAGACAAGTGCGAACTTCACTTTTT